CACACACACACACACACACACACACACACACACACACACACACACACACACACACACACACACACACACACACACACACACACACACACAACACACAACACACAATACAACACAACACAAACCAGAATAGTTTTCCGACAAAATGCCCGAATGTTGTTCATGCAGCCCCATGTTCTGAACATTACTCTTCGCGTATTGCATGCTACTGCAATCTCGCCCAATCCAGAGGAGTTATCACCGTGTTTCCGTGTTCAAATAATCGTGCACGTACGCGTGCAGACCTCGGCTCAACACATCCAGAGCTATTTACGTGGAAACCAGTGTTTTAGCGGCTGGCGACGTGTCTCGCCCTATTAAAGTGTCGTTGTAGCAACGCCCGGACGTCGGCAAGCACAGCTGTCAAGACAGCGAATAGTGAGTTCGCCCTGGAAGCACGGACAAAGGCCGATGACTGAAGCGGCTGTCAGCGGAGAACGTAGTGCGCTGGTCCGCTACGACGGGCCCCACGCTAAGCCGACGTTGAAAGGAGAATACATGTTTGAGTGCGTCATGACAGTGGCAGCTGCTCGGGAACTAATTATCCGCCCTTTGGCTCGGAATAGCGTAAACGCCGCTTTCAGTTGTCTGCGCCGTTGGATCCGTACCGGCGTAGTCTGCCCCCGCGTAAATCGCTTATCCTTCGTTTCACGACTCAAATTTTCGAATCTTGATTCATCTATCTCTCTCGCTCTCTTTCTTCCTCTTTCCGTCGCCTTTCCTTCTCCCTTTTCATTCACTCTTCGTTTCGCTCTGGTTCCGTTTACGAACCTTATTGATGCTTATTTCTTTTCCTTCTTATTCCTAATTTCGCTCGCATACTTTCTCGCGCACTCTCCCTCCCTCTCTCTCGCGCTCCCCCGCCACTCCTTTCTCTCGCTCTCTTTCCGTCCTTCTCGCTAACCTGTCCCTCCTTTATACCGGCGGTTACCCCATTTGGTATCGCCATCAAGTTCGCAGTAACAGCTGGAGGCTGAGTAATCCTGTTTAGTACAGCTGCGCGTACCTTAAGCTGGACAGAGTCGGTGTAGCCCGCTACAGAGAGCCGGGCGCGCCTACTTAGTTGCTCTCGCCCTCTATTATTGTTCGGTAAATGCTTCATCGCGAGGTTTTCGTGAGTGGAAATCGCTAGAAGGCATACCGACTGTGAGAAAACTCTAGCGCAGGACGCGGCGCGTCTATAGCCAACGCTATAAGCTGTAACATGGGAAGTAGACAGGCTATCATGCGCTCGCCACCACGCCCTGCAAGTCGTATGACAAGCGATAACAGGTACGGATTGGAGATCGTTGACATATACGCTTAATGCGCGTATTTGTATGGTACCCTGCACAAAGCTGTGCCCTAAGAAGCAAGTAACGACACACGCACACACACGCGCGCGTACACGCACGCACACGCACACAAACACGCACACGCACGCACAAGCACACGCACACGCACGCACACGCACACACACACATACACACACACACATACACACACACACAACACACACACGCACACGCACACGCACACGCACACGCACACGCACACGCACACGCACACATACACACACACACACACACACACACACACACGACAAACACTCAGCACAACACACAATCAACACACATACACACACAACACACACACACCACGCACACGCACCACGCAACACACACACACACACCCACAGACATCACACACACACCACCCACAACACAACAACACACGCACTGAGAGTCGGTTGGACACGCGTACGGCATTCTGCATTCGCGCGAGGCACTGAGAGAGAGAGGGAGGGGGGGAGAAAGCATGGCAGATGGGGGGGGTTGGCAGATTGGGTGATTCAGCAGATTCAGACAGGAACAACTGGGTTAAAAATGTTCGATCAAGCCGCAGGGTTCTAATCCCACTCGAGGCTCGCTGAGTTGCATCTCCCGCGCTTATCAGCGGCCGCGTCAGCATGCATCTCAGATCATCCCTTGTCCAGAATTCGCTAAGCAATCGCGAGCAAGCGGATCTCAACTGCTTTATAGTAAGGCAAGCCTATAGTAAATCCTTTCCAATAGTCAGCTATAATTATGCGCTGAGTCAAACATGCTACCCAGACTGACTCCAAAAGTGACATGCGTGCAGCGAAGGATACCTGACAGCTTTGCGATCATGTCACCCAGAATTCCTTGAACAACAAACGTGCATAACAGCATTCGATCCTCAATTATAGTTTGATTCGAATCAATACTTCTAGTTTACTAGGTGCGGCATATATACGTCTTATCGAGTGTCTTAGATAATTGCAGCTGAATAGGGTTAACACTTCCAAAGTTGGAATGATCTGATTAAGACATATAAAAGTATAGCAATACTACCTGTAATAATAACATACTCTACTCCGAACATCCATTTCACCACTGGCCGCGCAATTACCTTTGCTATATGTAGTTTCTACAACACAGGTGATGACATAGTAAAACTACACTTCTTTGTAGACAAATTCTAAATTTACCTACTGGGTAATCGGCTGTGCTATAATTTTCGCTCTTACCTGAATACAAGTGCGCAACCAAGGCACCCGGCTGCATATATGATCTGTGCCTGCAGTGGCCTTGACGCTATGGCAGTAATCTCCTGCGATCGCTATAACCTAGCATCAAATGAGAAGGAAAATTCTATACAAACGAGAAGGAATAAAATACAATCGCTATTCAATAATTCATACAATCATGCATGTCTGACGTATGTTTATATATATATATATATTATTATATATATATATAATGTTGTGTGTGTGTGTGTGTGCTGTGTGTGTGTGGTTGTGTGTGTGTGTGTGTGTGTTGTGTGTGTGTGTGTTGTGTGTGTGTGTGTGTGTGTGTGTGGTTTGATATATACATTTAGCAAAGATAATATAATATATATAAACAATAATATAAAATATTATATATACAATAATTATATAAATAAAAGTTGCAAAGCAAAATATTAAAAAAAAGAGGCAAAGTTGGCAAAGTCCAACGTAAGAAGGGACCGAAGAAATAGCATCGCGCACGGTGTGTGCGTGGCGTGTGTGTTTGTGTGTGTGTGTGTGTGTTGTGTGTGTGTGTGTGCGTGTGCGTGCCGTGTGCGTGTGTGTGTGGTGTGCGTGGCGTGCGTGCGTGCGCAGCGTGCGTGGCGCGCGTGCGTATGCGCTGCGTGCCGGGGCTGGTGCCACAATTATGTGTGTAGTGAGTGCGTACGTGCACGATAGGTGCATAATTTATGTAGGTTCATTGCGCTAACCGTGATTCTGTGCCCGAGCAGCCCAACCCCACTAAACCCAACATGTCCTAGCTGGCCATGCGCCCAAGTACAGGGATCACGTCAGCCCTCTATTCTCTCTACTCACTATAGTCATGTAGCGGACAACTGGTTATCTGCACAACAATAGTCCCATTGAGTGACCAGCAAAAGTCCACACATGCGCGTTTTACACTGTTTACCCTAAACAGGCGCATAATCGCCAGCTTCGTCGCTCACGAGAGCCTGAATCCATTCTGAAACGACAGGATGAGCGTGACTGTGTCCAGAAGAGCGCTGGGGCGTGGAGTGGTGGGAGGGAGGGTCGCGCGAGAGGAGGAGGGGTGGGTGTGGGAGAGGAAGAACGCGCGGGAGGGTGGGTGGGAGCTGAGCAGGCGTGAGGAGGTGTGGGTGGAGGAGAGGAAGGGTGGGAGCGCGAAGAGGAGGGGCACGGGGACCGTGGGGCAGGGATGGAGGGGAGGGGATGCTACGTGGGAGAGGGGAAGGATCTGGGGCGAGGGGAAGGGAA